ACAACAGTATCTGCATTTATTGCCACTCGGGGGGAAATATGTTTAATGTATGATGTTCTTTTAAAAATTGAAACCTGTGTTTGGTTTATAGGATGCATTCAATGTCTGATAACACTGTAGGATTTGTGACGTTTCAGTCTGTCTAAAAGCAGACCTCAGTTTTTTACATCGACCTAAAATAAAAACAATAATAACAATAATAGCCAGAGTGTTCCTTGGAGCTAGAGCTGGAAGCTAAGGCTTATAGTAACATAAGCCTTAGTAACATACATAGTAAAAAATGACTCAATTTCAATACTTTCTTTAGTCATTATGGTTAATTGACTTGCATCCCCTTTCAGCCGAGGTTGTACAGATTTTAGGGACATAGATACTCCAAGAAAAGACGTCACAATAAGCAAAAATACCAATGTATGCACTGGTGGACCATTTCTATTGCAGCAATCAAAGGGTTACATTGATTTAGTTTCTTGTTACAAACCGATTCGTGGGAATGATTGTGTTTTGTTGTCATGCTGCCCATAAACCAGAACGTTGTTTCATAAATAAATAAATATTTATAAATAAGTGAGGGGTGTGCTGGCGTCACTAATTTTTTTATAATTTTATAAAATGATTTTTCTGGTGTTTTACACATTTAGCCGTGGAGGACAATCAGAAATGTGGGCAGATGAAGACATTAGAGCACCGGGATGCCTCCGTCTTTATATATATTTGCATACAGCTGTTTAGTTTTCTGCCTGACTGCAGTTTTATTCAGAGTCATTCCATCTGCTGCTCCTCCGTTCTGTGGCACCTTTATGCTGAAAGTAAGAGAAAAACAAATATTGACTTAATATTAAATATTAGTATATATAAAAAACAGAAAAACCGCTTTCAACTCCTACTGCACCATCTGGACATAAAGACCTTTCTTGGTGATTTTTAAATACAATCTTTGTTTTATACGATTGTAAACTCTACCTTGGGCTCGGTGCTGCAATGTGCCAGCACTCAGCAGTACTGAGCACAGAATTTTGTCCACATGAGTACCCTTACTCCTTATTGTGTACCCCCACCTCCTGGTGATTCTGGGAAGACCCCCACCTTACTTTGCCTCTGGCTGCTGTTTGTTGCCTTTCGTTGGTTGGGTTGGTTGGGTTGAAGCATCAGGAGTGAGACGGTTAGGGTTAAAACAATTTCAGGGTCAGAGCCAATCAGAGGCAGAGTTGTTATCTTGTGTAAACACAGAGATAGCTTAGCATCAAGAAAAATGTAAATATGGTTACAGTGCTGGGGTTAAGTTGGAGTAATGGTGGAGAGTACTGGCACATTTTATAGTACAATTCTGGATCTGCTTGAGCTGTCATAATATTCTATATATGAAATAATAAATCCCAAAACCAATGTATAATTTGTACAGCTCCGACCTTGTCACTCTGTACCAGGAAACACAGAGCTCAGACCAGCGGGGGGGGGGAGTCATAATAACGTCAGCCTTAGCAGAGCCGGAAGCTGGGAGGAGGTGAGGCTTCTGAGCGGCTGCAGCAGGCTGTCAGGTGAGCGGCCATAATGAACAGGGTGCAGTGGGTGTGTGTCTGCAGTGTGAGTGGAGCCGTCTGATTTATCTCTCAGGCTTCACTTCTTTTATGGGAAATGTAACTTTGCTGGTTCTCAGCCCTCAGCAGTAAAATGGTCTAGATACTTTATATTCTGTAGCATGGTCAGCCTAATTTACCTTTTTACGTTGTTCATTTGCAGTGTAACCACGGCGCTGCATGCATACATTGCAGTGTTAGTGCTGATACAATATATGAATCAATGCCAACAGAGAGGGATGTGTTTAATGTCTGTGGTCTGTCTGGAGGAAAGTACAATAATGTAAAGTCAAGGATGTGACGTGATGTGGATCGATGCTAGATGTTTCATTTATTGTGTCTTCGGCTGCTTTTGAGATTTTTTTGTGTAAAATTTGGGGTTTCTTTGGTTTAATAATTTGCTTTATACCTTTCCATTATAATACTTTGTGATAGATATTATCTGTTTTTATATCAATGTTCTAATATTTAGATTGAAGGAGAATCTAAATATAGACTATATATAGATATGATTGTTTTTTGTGTGTTTTTGAACTTCTTTTAAACTTTACCACCTTCACAAGTTTCCACTTACAAAATAACTGCTTGGAGTATTGATCTGATATCAATTCATAAGTCAAAGAACATTTTACATTACCTCAATAAATTAGCAAATTGTGAGAATATAATTTACAGTCAACACAAAAAAATAATAAACTGCAGGTAGGACAGCCTGTAGACAAAACCCAGGGCAAAAGGGCAGAACATTCTCAAATCACTGGTGGCGCCACTCGCTGCTGCTCATTAAGCTCTTTGCTCTGATCACACAGTAATAACAGAAGGCGCCTCAAATGATCAATATTTTTATCAACTCAGACCTTTCTGAATGGTGTGATCTGTGGAGGCCGGGGAAGAGAACAATGTTCAGAAAGACTTCAGGTCGGACCGGAAACTATAAAGTGAGGGGGACCTTGATACGGCTTTGTGTCACACATCTTACTCAGGTGATATTTAAACCCGGACCGTGGAACCCAGGAGAACCAGACCGCTCCAAAGAGCAGCAGTGAGTGCTGTACGTTGTGAAAGCACAACCTGGTGATGCCTTTCTAATGTCGGGGTCACCTGAAGTTTGCTGTATGACCTCCGTGAGCGGCTGCCTGCCAGAGGAGGCTGCCAGCGTGGTGCTCAGTGCACGGCTGGGGTATAAATCAAACACACCTCACCTCAACTCAACCCTGCAGCTGGCTCAGCCTCAGCTGGCCAGGAGAGGAGTGGAGGAGAGGAGGAGGAGAGAGGAGGGGAGGGGAGGAATGAAGAGGGGAGGATAGGAGAGGAGAGGGGAGGGGAGGAGAAAACGAAAGCAAAGTGGAGATAAAAAAAAAAGGTAAATGCAAATTGCAATGCAAAGGAGAAGTTAGAGCAGAGGAGAAACAGAGTATGCAAAAAAGGATGTGGAAGGGAGGAGACAAGAGAGGAAGTAGAGGAAAGGAGAGAGGACGGGAAAGGAGAGTATGCATAAAAAGAAAAGGAAAGAGGGGAGTTGGAAGGAGAGGAAAGGAAAGGACGGGAAGAGGAGAGAAAAGAGAAAGTAAAGAAGAGAGGAAGTGAGAATATTCGGAAAGCAAATAGGAAATGAAGAAAGAAAAAGGGAAATAAAACAGAGGAGCAATAATGAGAGTACATGAGAGAGAAGATATGGGAAAACAAGAGGAGGAGAGGTGAATAAATAATGGGAAGAGGAAAGGAGATAAAGATGGGGAGAGAAAGTTAGGTGACGAGAGGAGAGGAGGAGAAAGTAAGAGCTGTTGAAATAGAGGAAAGAAAGAGCAAAATGATGGAGTGATGGAGGAAGTGAGGGAAGACAGAAGAGAAGAAAGACGATGATGAGGAGGAAAGAGAGAGAGAGAGACAGTTAGTAATTATCTAGAGTACCTTCCTCAGTTTTTACTGCAGAGACTCACTGCGATTTATGTGTGTGTGTGAGTGTGTGAATGTGTGTGTGTGTGTGTGTGTGTGTGTGTGTGTGCCAGCAGTGTGACAGTACCTGGGGAGTACTGTATAC